TTTAAATTTTTTTTAAAGTTTGAGCTTTCAACAGCCCAACCTTATTTTTCATAGCAGTTCCTGGACAGCAGATCGGTCCCCTGTCTGGCGCTGGATTAGGTGTGTTGGTGGGAGCACTCCATTGCCTGGACGGTGCGGGACAATCACCCTCCTCCTACTGAGCATCTGCTTGTGTGGCACAAACATGGCTCTTAATCATAATGGCCCCAATCCTATTTATTTGATCCAGTAACAATTTAACTTTTCCGTATCAGTTTCACAGCTATTCTTCAAAACACAAATATCTACCACTGTGGATATGGAGACAGTTTAAAATAGATCGTGCATCAGGATTTCCTTTCTAAACATCAGCTGCCATGATTTGGAAAGGAAGAGTGAGAACAATTTCTCAAATATGATTATAAAAAGAGATCATTTTTTCTATAAAAATGCAGATAACTCTATTGGATTTTTTCCCATTCAGTACATCTTTTTCTTACACAATAAATACACATTGCCATGCAGCTTCATTCTTAGCTTGTACACACTATTAAAATCTAGAAATTCACATTGTCTGTATCACAGAATTCCCATCTCTACGTGACCCCAGAGACATTATGTTCTCCTGGGTATATACCCTGTGTTTTAGACAGCTGAGTGATGTGATGTGCTGTTGTGGCTGCTGGTCCATAGGAGATTCTATAATTCAGGTTGTTCCAACACTTCTCAAGGGATCCAAGCAAATGCGAGTGGGACCTCTCTTGACATCTAACATCAATTCATGAGAGGACTGATCCCATCTCAGAAAGACATACCTTTATCAGCAGTAGAAAATTACAACAGTGTTATGGTATCAGCAGAAACCACAGCCTAGCTATTCTAGAAAACCCTTTCAGTAGTGTATAAGGATTAAAACCAAAAAGTACTTACAGAACACAGCAAAGTATAGAGTTATAGCACAGCAGGTGTTGGCTACATAGGGCAATGATGATTTTATGCAGGCTGACTAATGACACCCTTTTTGTCTTTGAAAACGTATTTTAAATCCTGACGTTGACAGGCATGGGTGAAAAAGCTGCCCCAAATAAAACCGGAATATGTATTGCTTTCTTTAGAAAGTATCAGAGATAAAAATATAGCAATGGAGTCTTTGAAGCTCACTGCGAAACATCTGTGCTCCACAAAGGTTTAGAAGTAGCACGTGGTTAGCAGAAATGCTGCCTCTTACAGTTCTGCACTGTCCTGAATTGCCACAGATCTCCCCTGTTGGGCATCTAACAGCATGCTTTGTGGTTCGACAGCGGGCGTTGGAGCCCGTGGTAAACTGCGATGCTCCGTATTGAAACTAAACAAAAAAACCCAAATGGGATCTGTGCTCCTCCATTCCTCACTCTCCTTGTTCACTCTTCCTAGTCAGTTTGAAGGGAAACTCCATAGTCTTACCCGTGGTCCCTCATTCTGCTTCCCTCCGTGTCGCTTAATGCAGAGTAACATTCAACGGCGTGTCACCCCTGCAATTAGATCGAGCATCTCCCTTCTACTGTGCAACACCCGATCTGCTTTTGTGTGCTCAAAATAACAGTAGCTAGGAGCTGTTGGTTAGTTATGATTGCTATTTTAACTGATTAATTTTGGAGCATGTCTGTGTCATACTGTAATCATAACAAAGGAAATCCAGTGGATATAATCTGTAAAAAGTAAACAGTATGTGCACACTCAGAAAAGTCAAACCACAACAAGAAGCAGCACAGACAGCATATGGCCCTGTTTATGTACACAAAATTAACAGTATGAAATCCAGTTAGGAAGGTGGAGATCATAATCATTACATTAGACAGCAATTTCCAGAGTACGTGAACTCAAGACTTCACCATTTCCTTCCAGACTGAATGATGCTGAATTGTCAGATTTATCTCGTTCCCTTGGTTTCCGATAATGGGATTGTGGTGAAAGGTCAATAGAGAGCATAAAGCTGGAACATGAACGATAGGCGTTTCAGCGGAGCTTTCACTAGCCTGTACAGCAAGGTGCAAACTCCAGAAAAGCTTTACTACTTACAGGGATTGGGGACAAAGAAATTCCCTAAGCAGTGTCTTTTGCTTTTGCTCAGCCATTGAGGAGTGAGATTCAGTTGTGAAAGGGAAAATATCAAGGGAATTTCTGTTGCATGCAAGAGAAGCGTGAGTTCAAGCTCTTCCATGCACCGCTAACCTTAACACGGGTTGTCCAACACAGTGCTTCATGCCGTGAGAGAACTTAGAGTGATACGTCTTTAATAGCTGGGTTGATATTTCTCTTTGGGTATCCTTGCTGCACATGGTCAAATCCCTTATCTTCCTAACAATTAAAAGGAAAGAGTTACAATATTGAGAACAGTCATGCGTTGAAAAGTGTGTCTTGGCATGTCTTCCCTTTATGGCTAAGCACTTAAGAAATTCGCAAAGAAATCAAAAACATGTTACACACAAATTGTGCTCTGCAGTACCATTAGCACCTGGATTCAACTTTGCAAACCCTTTCACAAACGCCACCACATAGGTCTTGCTGCTATCAGTAAAACAATTCTTAGCTGTGTTCCCTGATAGGAATCTGTGCAACGCCATACAACCGAGGGAGAGGCACCGGTACCAGGCGTCCTGCACAGCCCAAGTGCTGAACCTCAGCCGGGGAAGCTGTTGTGTACTCTTACCGGTTACTTTTCCAACAATATTTAATTAACCTGACCTTGGGATTACATTTCTGTCTTTTCCAGGGATGCAATTAAACTCCAATAAAATAACCAGTTAAACTGTTAAATAGAGTTTTAAAAGGCTCTAATCCCCTCAAAGAAATTTTTCAGCCCAGTTAATGACTGCTAGCTGAAATGTTACGTTTTTAATGAGTTTATCCAAAGAAACTTAGAGAAGGCGCCTGATGCCTTAGTACAGAAATGTTGTACTGCAGCTGAATTTGTTTTTACAGTTTAAACAAATATACTTATCACCTTTAAATAAAATGCGTTCATTATTTAACAAGTAGTTTTGGTAACAAATTCTATCAGTTAAACATGTAGAACTAGTGTTCTCTTTAAGCACCAAGTACACAAACACATTAGCTCTTTTGGACTTTTGTTTTACCAAAATATCCCTGACATTCATCCCATATGATAGAATTCTGATAAGATATGAATTTTTCACAACTGCTGTAACTTTGTGAAACATCAGGTGCTGACTAACTTCCTAAAGGAAACTCGCAATTTAAAGAACAGTTGAATTCTACCATGCCATTTAGAATGGCTTGACAATGATGTCATGCTAAGAAAACAGGGACAACAAATAGAGCAGTAATAAGGAAAAAAATGAGAGTGTATAGGGGAAATAATGCTTTTTCTTGGAATAGGATTTTTAAGTGTTTTAAGTCAAGGCTTATTATACATTGCAGTGTTCATAGAATTCCAGATTTTTCAAATTTGTATTTCTACTCATTATTCTCTTCCCTTTCTATAGGTTGCTGATTTTGATTCTTTTTGATAAATAGAAAAATGACAAGTTTTAATATTTAGCATTTTAATAGTGAATAAGTAAATGCCACATTTTCATTTGGATTTTGAATAAAAGAAAAATAAAGATCAGGCTTCCAGCTCATATGAAGAGTGACAGAACCCGCATGGATTTTGTTAGCTTATGACAAGTAAGGACCTGGCCAAAGGAAATCAGAGTTTGGGTTGATACATAAGCCAGATGTAGGTGCCAGTTCGCTGGTTTCCATATCAACCCTAACTTTTAAATTTGTGAATTCATAAAACTCAGCTGTAAAACTGCACAGCTAGCTGTGTAATTGAGAGAGCACTGGTGCTGGTGTGGGAAACTGGACAGGCTTGGGAGGGGCTGGAGCACAATTCAAGCCCCCAGCTAATGCTGTTCCTGATCATTAATTCTCTTTCACTCCATCCATTTACAGACAGATTCTGACTCTAGAAATTGTTTCTGGACAGGAAAAAAGGAGTGAGTAAAACAGAGTGTCCTTCGTCATATGACAAATTATGTGACACTGACTATTGGGACCATGCAAACGACACTTTCTTGTTACGGATCAGTTGGGATCATCTAACAGGGAACCACATTCAAGTTTTAAAACTTAAAAGTTTGTGAAATAATAAGTCCATATTTTTTTCATGACTCTTTTTGAACACCTGCAGGTGCCCCATTCAGCAGACTAATTTATGAATGATCTTTTGAACTCTAAGTAGCATATCCCCACTGCAAGAATTATTTTGATGATAAGTGCTATCATTTGTAGCCAAAAATTTTGAAATAAACTACCAAACAGCATACTTTAAAGCTGCGTAGGTAACCAGAATGTACCAAAAAGCCAACCAAAACAATGTGGGTAAGCTTTCAGCCATCAGCAAAGCTGGGATGAGAAAGAATACCTCAAGGCATAAGATTTTGTTTCTTGTTTGTCAGCATTGGACTGTTTTCTGCAACTCTACCATTTTCCTCTGCCTTTAGCCAAAAGAACAAACAGATACTGCTGTTTCTAAGAAAATTAAATAAAACAGATTTATCACTATGGAAAAGGATAATGTTTTTTCTTATCTACATCGCAAAGCTTCTCTTTGCTGCTGCACCCATGAGGTTCCCAAGCGTACCGTACCCTTCCTTGCTATTCCTTGGCTACTGCTGCACAGGCAGCCCCAGCACTTCCCACACCCCCTCCGCTGAGCCAGGACATCTTGCTGCTTTGGTTTCATTAATAAAATATAAATGTGACTCTCACTATGCAGGCTCTTTAGGAGTCTATCAGCTAAATGGGGATGCTGATAACGCTTTATTGTTAACAGTGAGTGAGGCCGCAAGAAGCTCAGTACTCCTGGATGGTTGAAACCTTGAAGAGCAGCATCAGTCAAGCAGTGCAGCAGGAGCCATGTCTCTGCCCTTCCGAAAAGAGTTGGAGAAATATAAGAATATCAATGAAGATGAAATACTCAGCAAACTCTCAGAGGATGAATTGAAACAGCTAGAGCATGTTCTTGATGACCTGGACCCTGAGGTTAGTAATGGGAACTGGGGGTGGGGTGGGGTGCCATAGATCAGAAGGTATTCTGAGTGCCACATACAGCACCTTTTTTTATTTGTATTCTGTTACAGTAGAGGCAGTGTACCCCAAAGGATAAGCAGCTCAGCTGGGGACATTTTGGTTTTATTTCTGCCGTGATCTGCTACTTGCTTTTATACAAGTGTGCCCTTTCTCTATCCCTTGTCTATTTAGACCCGAGCTTGTCTGCAATCTGAATCTTTAATCATGTTTGTACACTGCAGCACGATGAGAAGCTTTTTATGGCTGCTATTTCTGAGCACAGTGATAAACAAACAAACGTAATGTGTGTTTGTGAAGATCAGATGTTTTGAACTTCTGAAATCTGTCGACTATGTCATTCAGCACAGATATTTTTAGCTGAAGAGAATATATTTAGGCATGATTAAGAAAAATAAGATTCAGCTACACAACTGTCATTTTCTGGAGAGCAAGGATAATTTGGATATTTGAAGGCACTCTCACAAAGAATTTAAAGACCTCTGGCCTGGGAACTACTCAGTCCTACAATAACGAGGTTACGGTCACAAGTGTTCTGGTTGGTAATTCTGACTGTACCTACCCCAAAGTCTTCCAAACTGATGTAGGAGTTTGAAAACTGGGAAGTAAACTGGCAGATAAAATCCATTCACTCTGGAGACAAAATAAATTTGAAAAAAACACAGTAGATTTAGAGCTTCTAGTTCTATAGCACAAATTTACCTGGAAATTAAGGGTGGGCTTTACTGTTGTCTCCCTCCATGTTGCCGCTTCCCTCACTCCTACCATATCTGGCATCTCAAATGGAGACACAGAACATTAAACAACCACAAAAAGAAGGTGTGTTTGTAGTCAAGCTACACACGTGCAGTGAATTTGTAGCACTCTGGGCACATTTGTGCATGCACAGATGAAATGTCTACTGACTTGAGTTCACTGGACGGGCTCAGGATTCACTGGGTATTTGATGTGGATCAGATTTACCGTGCGTGTTCTGGCCAATGAAGAAGCATTTCTGCAGTACTCTGGGGCATCTTCAACATGTTGGCTTTACTGCACACACACTGCAAAGTCCATGTACCTGTACTCCTTTCTGGGATTTCCTGGACTGAAATGTGGGACCCTTATGCACCTTCCTATATTATGGGATGCAGCTGCAATCAGATGGTCACACAGCTACATGTTTAAAGGGGGCTACATCTGCTGCTTCCTGCATACTCTACATAGCTGAAGTCTGCATAATTCACCCGTTACTTTCTGTGCGTGCCATTCATTTCTGAAGTCCAAGAGACATCTGCATTAGAATGAAAGGAATTTTTGAAAAAATGGAGAGAGAGAGAAATGGGGAGGAAAAAGAGTAAATGAAGAGAAGAAAATGTGTAGAAAACTTATGCTGGTCTATTTACCTGGACTGCAAACTCTGTGGTTATGATGCGTAATGCAAAGGGCTGTGATCTTGCTCAGTTCTTTGGTGCCGTGATTGTAAATACGTTTAATAAAAATATTAATAGGTGGTACAATCAAGAAGTCTGGAAGATATACTGGGTTTAGTGGTTACATTTAGGTAACGTGTGTTATTGCTGTCACCAAAGAGCATTATGTGAAGTAACATGCAAAGTCTGGTTTCACTTAAAACCCGACAACATTGAAATGAAATTTGGAACACTATATGAAATTGCCTCATCTCCTTTACATGCCTCCCTCTCTTTCACAGAATGCCTTGCTCCCAGCAGGATTTCGGCAAAAGGACCAGACCACTAAACCTGCCACGGGCCCTTTTGACAGAGAACGCCTGCTCTCGTACTTGGAGAAGCAAGCGCTTGAGCACAAAGACAGAGAAGACTTTGTACCATTTACAGGGGAAAAGAAAGGTACCGTCTGTCTTCGTGTCGGTGTTGAGTAATGGACTGCCTGAGCGCAGGCATCCACCGCTGCCTGGCCTTTTTGCAGAATACGCTGGGACAAAAGAGCTGAAGGCTGTTACTGTGCAGGGTGAAGCTCAGGAGTCGGATCTAGAGCTGTTGTAGCAGGAGATGAAGTGGTGGTTTTATCTGCCATGTGGCGGTCTGCCTTGCTGCTTTGGAGTTACAACTGCATGTTTAATCAGCCCCATCGGTGGGTACGGGAACACACAAATGCCAGTCCAGCAAAGGGCTCAATCGGCAGCAAATGCCTCTATTTGCAGTCAAGGATGGACAGAGGTGGCCTCGCTAACCTCACTGGGACTATTCCCACATTAAGCATTAGGCCCGTGCAAGGGTACTGTGGTGGGGGAGGTGTTTAGGAGGAAACGTATTAAATGCCTTTCTAAGTAAGTATTGCTTGTAATTGCTGAAAGTAATAGCTTAGGGAATAGACTTAGAAAAAGTAAGTATTTTTCCACTTGTTTACTAGCACATCTGGCAATGCTATTCATGCAGACAGTTTCTCTGCTTCCCCTTGTCCTACAGCTATAGGAAAAAAAGGGAAAACCAGGAAAACCTAATTCTAATCATTCAAACATTGGTAGGATAACCTTAGGGCAGGAACAGTCATGTTTTTAAGTGAGCAATGTTCCTTTAGCACCATCATCTCCTTTTCCTCATTTATATACAGTGGATAAAAATGCCTACTTCAGGCCACCTCTTCGTTCAAGAAAGAACATACTACATGTGGGTCCATTTTTGACCATCTGGTGCATTTGCCATTATTTCAGTGTGACCTGCTTAAGGGAAAGCAGATATTTCAAGAAAGCCAAGTGCAGCATTTTTTACTCCATGCATCATTATCAAATATATAAAATGTTATTTTGCAGGCCAAGAGTTGTTACTGTCATTACATTGTGTTCTCATTCTTTGAAATAATGGTTTTAGACTGACGTGACAGTTTTTGGCTTGATCTGATTGATGCGTTATTTTATCATGCAGCATATTCTTTAACCTACTTTTTCCTCCGCCATATCTTGTGCTCAATGCTGTTCACAGAGTTGACGCTGAGCCCACTGAAATGCAGTGACACTGCAGTAATTCTGCCAGCAGCAGGAGTGATTAAGCACACATTGTACAGTAAAGAAAACAGTTTAGTGTATTATGGATTTATTATTGTTTCCCTTTTCTGGTCTCCCACACACTGGGGTGTTACCAGTACAAGTTACCGCTTGCAGGTCTCTGCATATTTATACCAACACCTTCAGTCAGGTCTCGCCTTACTGATATTTACTGACTTAGGACTAAGACTTTGCATTTTGCACTGTAGTCATGCCCGAGATCTCCAAACATGCCTGCAATGTAAATACACAAAAAGCCAGCAGCTCACGGAATTCCATATACCCATAGGGCCAGCACTTGATCCATACAGAACTAATCCCCGTATTGTCCGTGACAGTGTTATTGTACGCACAGGCCTGTTTGTGCTAGTTCAGTTTTCTTTTGACAAGACTAAAGCAATATATTGCTACATTGGCTTCCAGATGCCCCTAAAGTGCTTCTTAGTGCTGCTTATTAATTCCTGGTGTCTCTGGTGTGGAAATACCGCTGCTTTACCAACACAAATAACCACACGTGTCACTTTTCCCTCAGCACAGGGTGAATCCAGCCATACTAGCATTTAAAGCTTTTCTTATTTTGCTTGTGATTCACTGTGATCATTTAATTCAAAATTACAATGTTAAGAATTATCACAATTACAAGGTTATGACAGCATTTTAGGCTAAGGGAATTATTCCCTTAATCTCTTCTGTTCCTTGTACAGCACCAGTTCCTGACAAAATCTTCAGTATCAGCTTTAGCAGATAAAGTCAGATGAAAACAACCACGTTCTGTGATTTCTGCAGTCATTTTACAATTATAATCTAAACGCAAAGAATTCTGCTAAATTTTCTTTGAAGTCAAAGGCCAAATACCATGAAAATACCCTTTGTTTCTTTGTTAATATTAGAAATAACTGAATTAATCTGAGATCTGTACTTCTGATGAGGTCCAGTACCGTGACAAGTGAGAACTGGATGAACAGCCCAGTGTCATTTTTGTGCTGCTTTAAGGGAACTGGCTTTGAGAAGGAATCTGTTTATTTTGAGCTTGATCCTGTATTGGTATTTGCATCTCTCTCCTGCCCCCAACTTGGCAGGAGGCAGCCTGCAGACTTCAGGCACTGGGCTCCTCTCTCTGCTTCGCTTGTTCTCCTTCCCCCTTGCTCCGCACTGCAAAGACTTTGTGCAGAATCTGAGCCCTATAAAACATATGATTGAGGTCTCCATCTGCTGTATGTATTGAAATCTTCCTATGAATTGTATGATAATTCTGCTAATTGCGTGAATCTGGTGAAACACGATGAATGTCACGTAAAGGCCACATGTGGCTGGCTCTGGATCTTAGAATCCGTGCTTGTGACTGTGGCATTACTTATTTCGACAAATTCAACTGAAGAGACAATAACAGAATGACTATTAAAATATTAATGACTTGATTTTCACTTATACTAAGATATTTTCTGTGCAAGGAAAGACATTATGTCCTGCAAAGACATTTCCAAGATATGATACTACATGCTAGATTTAAAGTCACTTTAATTAGAGAATAATTAGTATTCTTCCAAAAGCTTAGTAATTACTTTAGGATAAATGTTTCACATTTCTGAAATGTGTCCTTGAAAGAAACGAAAGAATATCATGTCTTGAGGAAAAGCTTATTCTTCACCTCCGGCATGTTGGTGGCCTCTAAGGTGTATTTATAGATTGGTAAATACTTACATTATATAGATTCTTGTTAAATGATTTCTTTACATTATAGCAGTGCTATAGCAGCTCTATAATGTAGCCATGCTGTAAATAGTCCCCAATTAATTTTACGCTAAAACTGCTAGTTAAAAATTAAGTTCTGAGACAGCTCCAATTGTGTATAATTAGAAAGGGGAGGTGTTGATGTCAATGTAGCATTTGGCACTATTTACCTCCTGAGAATATTTGTGTGTCAGTAGGATTAGAATATGTCAAGTGTTGTTTAAGCTTTTGTCACTGTTCCGTACTTTGATATTTTTCTGCCACTGGGAAAGCATTTGTTTTTTCAAATTTAGGAAGTGGGATGTTTCTACCAGATGTTAAGTGACTTTTCTACCATTTCCTATGTTTATCATGTAAAGCTGACACTGACTTGAAAATCTGGTGATGAGAAGGTGGTGTTTAAAATATCCTCCTTCCAGAGTTGTCTGTGATACATCATTATTGTTTATCTAGTGTCTCTGCCTCTCTTTTTTTTGTGCTAATGTTTTATTGGAGAGTTCTTGACCAAAAAGCAATACTAAACAGCTGCTGAAGGACAAATTTCAGTTGTCTGTGTTGGTCTCTACATGCTGAACACAACCATCAGGTTTTGATTGTGCTAGAAAACAAGCCAAAATAAATTCCAGAGCTGGCAGGGATATTCAGAGTGGTTAAAACAAAGGAAGTGTTAAATATGAGCTCAAGGTGGGGGGCTGGTCGTGCAGGCAATTGCCTTGGTTTTGATTGTAATCGTGGTTTCGAGAGTTTGGAAATGTTTGGCAAAACCAATCAAATGTATGGCATGCATTAGGGTTTTGGCCCTCTGCCACATTTCAGCTTGTTAACGTACTATGTTAATTGCTGTACAAAAAGGAGGTTATAAACCTGTATGGAATAGCTCTCAAATTTCAATGAAAACCCACATTTTGTGCTGAACCAGGGCCAGAACGGTCACAGCCTGACAGGCACACACCCAAACTGGCCACCAAGCAATTTTTCAGACTGCTTTACCCCATGTCCTCCCTAAAACAGGTCAGGGGCGGGTGCTTCATTTGACTGCCCCCATGGTGAGTGTTTGCTCCCGTTGTGGCATGTGAAGGATCTGGTGGCTTTCAGGAACTGTTGTGCAAGACGGCTGTCAATGAGCCACTCCTACAGACAGAGGGCTCAGTATTAATGAGAAGGGAGGTACAGGGAATTAGGGCTGGTAATTGTAGCCATAGAGATTGGCAGTTTGTAAGTGTTTATTTTATGCATTTTTGGATTAGTTCCTACTTAGGATAGATATTCTAGAAATCCTGACATAGAACCTGATGAACTACAGAAGGTGCTTAGACTGACCCACTGCATTTATCACACAGAGCTGGAACAGCCGGTTATCACACTTAGATCACTGCGAAGCCTTTCTGTACAATTTTCAACTTCATGAAAGGTCCAGGAATAAAAAGGTGAAGAAAGTGAGGGGCAGTGCAGGCACAAAACATTAAAGAGCAATGCCAATGCTGCACATTTTCTCTTACTGAATGCAGTGTGTATATCTGATCTTGGTTAAGATCTGAGTACTACTGTAATACAAACATAAACTATTAACAACATTTCTGTTTCTGCTTTGTTGCAGTGGTTCTCTTAACTACATGATACTAATGAAACATAATTGAAAAAAGTTCTGTTGTGAAATATCATTAGGTATGAGAAGTTGGCCATGCCATTTTAATTGCTATAAGGATTGCTGTTTCAACACTTCACCACTATCCGTTTTCTACAAGGTCTTCTGTTCCTTGCCAAACCATTTCATTTTGGATCTGATCCAGTTCTTATCAAAGTAATGGAAAAACTCCAGTGGATTGGGCTGCTATTACTATTTGTGGCTGGAAAGGGAAGGGGAACATGCTTGTATGTGATTAAATGCTAACGTTTTCAGCCAACTGATAAAAGGGAAAAGGAAGAAAGTATGGATGATTAAACCAGAGAACTTTTGGCCCTAGCCCTGTTCAGTTGCTCTGGCAGAGACCATCTATCTTGCAAGTTGTGCTGTGCCAAGCAGAGTATCAATACATGGCTTTAGTAATAATGACAGTCATTTTCAGAAGGTCAGGGTATTAGAGTAGATGCTAATGAGTTCCAATTCCAGTTTCT